ATTGCTCCAGTGTTCTACTGGAAAGGTAGTAGTAGAAGGGACCTCTCTGGTGCAGGCCGCCAGGGACTCCTCTGCCTCACCCTATGCCTCTTCACTATATTTAGGCCACAGATATCAGGCTGTAAAACCTCTGTGGCAATGAATACCATGCAGAATGCAATAGGGAGAGCCTGAGGAGGCATCTGTTCTCTACGCTAGCACAGTCCAGCAGGGAAGAATTACACCTGCCTACTTCACTCCCACTGTGGTGGTCGGGGGCGAGGGTAGAGAGTATTGGTGCCAATTGAATGGCTATGGTTTCCAGGTTTTAGTTCATCAGGGCTAGACCTAAGGTCAATTTCTTGCTAAAGCCAACATCTCTAGGAAAAGCTAAATTCTAGCATGGGAAATTGGGAAGCTGACATCTAGAATGTCAGAGAGGGGTCGTGTCAGGGTGGCTGAGCCAAGGTGTGGGAATGGGGTAGAGAGGAGCTTAGACATCAAATCACCTTAAGAATGAACAAGAACAACTCTGGGGGGCTGGGCTAGTGGTTGGAGGGTGCTTGGTGGCAGAGGGAGGTTAGGTTGTCTCCACAGCCTGTCTTTTGTTCTTTCCTTGTATTTTCAGCATTGGAAGTGAAAGATTAGGATGAAAAAAACTGAAAAATTATCAGTTCCACCCACTCACCCCCAACACACACACAGTAAAAACCTTTTAGCGGAAGGCTTTCCTTTTGCAGATTATAAGTGCATGCCAATGATGAGCCATTATTGCATACTTACTCTTTAAAACCATCCTTGGTATATATTGGAGGGGACTGCAGCACTTGCCAAGTTTCAAGCTGTTTTGTTTTGTTTTTTTGTTTTTTGCCAAGATCCATCCTGGGGCTTGTGTTACCAAGTAGGGCCTTCTTGGGCCTTTGTGACCCCTGTGGACGCCCCCCACCTCTTTGAGCCTGAGAATCCTTTTCAGGCCTCAGGGAATCACTTCTTCAGAGACTTCTTTAATGCACTAAGAGCTTTCCTAATACTGACAGAGGGTGGGAAATGGAAGAAGCTTAGATTTTACCAAGTCATGGAAAATCCCCAGTCATTTTTATTAGCTTTACAGTCAGAGATGTCCTCAAAGGCACATGCATTGCTTACAAACTCACTTCCCTCACTCCTAGAAGTCTAGGTGGGGCAGTATGTGGGAGAGGTAAGTGGTACCTTGCTTTATCAGCTCATATTTTGGTGAGAATGTAAAAGAACTGACTTTTTTGGTAACCTATTACCTGAGAGAAAAACAGGTAAAAAATAAAGTGATAATAATTAATAATGTAAAAAATTCTAATAGCCAATTTTTTTCTAATGGATAATCAAAAAATTCTAGAAGAATAATCACATCTTTCCATCATGATTTAAAAGCTTTCTTTAAAAATGGATGTATAAGTACCACCCCTTTCTGATTTAATAAAATGCTTTTGTATAATCAAATAGCACACACCTGTGTACAAGATGATGGATTAATAATGACTTTTAGCAACTAAATTTTTTTTTTTTTTTTTTTTTTTAGGTGGAGTTTCACTCACGTTACCCAGGCTGGAGTGCAATGGCGCGATCTCGGCTCACCGCAACCTCCGCCTCCTGGGTTCAGGCAATTCTCCTGCCT